TAAACCCACAGCCTTCTTGTCACTGCCCTCTCAGCAGCTCCCTTGCTGCATATTCTAAACATCAATTTTTAGCACCTGTGTTATCTGTCACCATGCTCCCATCTCCATTCCATCTTTGTGAAATTTCTTCTTTTCCTATGCATCTTAAGTATAGGTTTGTTTGTTTCTTCCTTTTTCTGATTTGTATGTCACTTTATTTTACTAAGAAGCAACGCTGAAAGGCAAATGTATTTGCCTCATACATTGGTTGTGTACAGAAATTATCCACTACAGCTTTGAAATCTGTTTTTCATAACCTGTTTATGATTTTTTTCACAGAGTATTTGTGGAACTGAAACTAGAGTTTCTGGTTAGACAGGGCAAAATGAGCTTTTAGATACTTGTAGTTCTTTCATGAGCACCTACTTCTGTCCTGTCTACCTCAGGTCTATGGTAGACGAAAATTTTGAACAGAATCATGTAACCTATTACTCAGAGTAATGAATGCCTTATTCATCCTGGTTTGGGATCATCTATCAATGTGGGGAAGAATTGTGTTTTTCTCTTTCCTGGAGCCAAAGAGAGCAAAACCCATCTCCATTATATTTCCCTGATGTTAGGCTATGAATTTCCTTGAATGATAAATAGCATCATTGAATTTCCATTTCCTATTCAATTTTTTATAAGTTAAAGGAAGAATAGTAAAGAGAAAAAAGACTTTTATATACAGAAAATGATAACTGCATTGTGAAATCTTGCAGTTTTGAGGCAGATGCATCGATCTTCAGTCGTGCTTCATTTCCATTGCCTGGTGATTGGTGTCTCTGGAATTAAGTACTGTATTGCTTGACTTGGCCAGTTCTCCTGCCATAAACCTGAGGCTATTCCTTTCTTGTGCCATGATGATAGCCTCTAAATATAAGATATATATGTATGGAGCTGAATAAATATGAAACATGTCTTACTGTACTTGTAGTAATGAAGATGTAGAGGGAAAAGTGCTCACCAGAATTTTATGTGATAGTCACCAAAATGTTCACTGTGGTCATGGCTAGGGAGGAAAATTATATGGAATTTTTGTTGATCTACATTTTCTATATTGGATCTGTAGTTTCTGGAATATAGTTATGCACTGCATAATGACGTATCAGTCAACAGCGGACCACATGTACCTACAAGGCTGGTTCCTGGGATTGTATCATTCAGTGACACTGTAGCTGTCTTGGTTCATGAAGTACACTCTGATGTTAACACAATGATGCAACCACCTAACATTGCGTTTCTCACAATATGACCCCGTCAGTAAAGCAACATGAATGTTTTTGTTTTTGTAAGAGTAGGTGCCTCATGTGATCATGCCACTGCGGCTGAAATAGTTCCCCACTCTGCTACTTGGTTTCGGGTGATCCCGCCTAGCAGCTTTTCCTGTGAGAAATTTACCTTGCCTATGACAGAGAAAGTGTCCTCCTGCATTGAAGACTATAGAGCTCTTAGGTTACTTTTTTTTTTTCTTTTTCATGGGGTCCACTGGTCATTCAATATTTTCTAAACATCCATGAGCTGAATTCTCAGAGAATAAATACCTCTTTGTATACCCCAGCCTTCATAACTTCATCTGTAAAATGAAAATAGTAGTACTTCCCCTGAAGTCTCCACTGTTGTTATTTTCTGTTTTATATCTCTATGATGAAAGAATTTAGATTTAATTTCATTTTTAAAAACTGGCACTTCTGTTTTAAAGATTGTAATCTGGACTTCAGTGGAGTGCAGTATATTTTGTTTTTGTCTTTCAAACCAGTCTCAGTGATCCTACTTTTTGCATAGAAGTGTAGTGTTACACATTCTACTTTGAGTTGGCACATTATAAACACAAATCTTCTTTCTGAGTAGAATGAGGCTTCCCAACCCTGACAAGTAGTAAATGGGCCACAGGCGAGGAGAGGGGAGGGCCTCTGTGGACAGATTGCTCCACTTAGGTAGGTAGTTCAGCAGGCGTTCTTTCCCCTGCACGGTTCATGCTTCATTACAAAAGCTCTAGTCATTAAACTGGGGCATTGTGAAAGATCTATGATCGATAATTATAAAATAATCATAGTAATGGCTACTATTTATTGAGTACTTAATATGTGCCAGGAATTGTGTTAAGTGCTTTCCACACATTGTCTCATTTATCGTCAGAACAACCCTGTAAGATGGGTACTATTATTAGTCCCATTTAAAAAATGTAAAATGACATATCAATTTGTGAAAGTGTTATAGTACATTACAAAAAATTATGAAATAAAGTCAAAAGTATGATGTAAAATACTTTATTTCTCACCTTTTTTTAACTGTCTAAAAAATCTATGAAACAATTTCTTATTTAGAAAATATAATGTGCTTTTACTTTTTTACCCAAAGTAAAATCTGGACCCTTTCTTTCTGTTTGCATTCCTGTTTTAGCAACTTTAACCATTTCTTTGGGGGGGGGGGTACCAGGCACAGAACTTGGGTCCTTGCGCTTTCGACGCAGGTGGTGGAACCACTGAGCTAAATCCCTGGCTAATCTTCTTTTTTTTTTTGGTACCGGGTTTGGAACTCCAGCCCTTGCACTATGTGAGGCAGGTGCCAGAATCACTGGGCTAAATCCCCCACCCATCCTTGGCTAATCTTAACCATTTCTAAATCTTGGATGTGTCCAGCTGAATATCAAACAGGTTGTATAAAGGGAATGGCAAAAAAGATAAAGTACGTCTTAAAAATACGTTATTTTGGCATATCACTTAGCTGTTGCTGGTGAATAATCACAAAATATCAGCTGAACAATTAGCTTTAATTAGCATAAACAATAAGAATTTATTCTGGGACCAGGGATTTAGCTTAGTGGTTCCACTGCCTGCCTCACAAGTGTAAGGTCCAGAGTTCGATCCCTGGTAAAAAAAAAAAAAAAAAAAAAAGAATTTATTCTTAAGCACATATTTTTGGTCAGCTGGAATGGTTCTTAGGCTATAAGTTTGCAGTTTGGCTGGGCTGGTATATTTTGGGGCCCAGGTTAATGGTAATAGAATGGTATGTTCTTCCGATGCTGATGGCAGAAGCAGAATGGATAAACCAAATACATGAATATAAATAAGTCCACTAAAATTCCAGGGGACAGACAAATTGGATGTCAAGAGTGAAGTTAAGGGATAAAGAAGCACATACCTACCATGAGTGTCCTTAACTTTGAGGCCAAAGTGAAGATACAGATTATTAGACAACTACAGACAAATGACAAAGTTACACTAATAATAAGCTTCCATACCTACTCCTAAGTAACTAACACATGAGATAAAAGGTGTGGCTGTATATATATTTCTTTATGAGATATGAAAGTAGGTTGGCATGTGAAAGCAGGGTGACCAGCTAAAAAGGTTAGTGTTACAGGCATGGCATAAATTAAGAATGTTTTAGTGACTGATATACTTACAGAAAAATATAAAAAGACTAGGTATAAAAGTATTATAAGGCAGAAGAGGAGATTCCTCTTTATCCATGTCAATTGGCTTTCCATTGCTATGACAAAATACCAAAGAAAATCAGCATAAAAGGAGGAGAGTTTATTTTGGCTCACAGTTTCAGAAATTGCTGTGCATCATCGCTCTGTTCTCTTGCTTTTGGGGTGGTGGTGAGGTGGAACTTGATAAAGCGTGACCAGTGGAACAGAGCTGCTGACCGCAGCATAACTGAGGTCAAAGAGAGAAACTGGAAGAGGCTGGGCTCCTAATACTTCTTTGAGGGCACACCCCAGGGGCCCAATTTCTTCCCACTTGGCTTCACCATCTCCCAGTGTTATCACAGTCTGGCGATCATGCTTTTAACACATGAGGGAATGAGAAGATATGAAAAATGTCCACAATTCCATGAGCCTGGAGAACTTAGGGAGGTTTTGGTGCAATTGACCAGGAAAATAAATTTGTGAGGGGTGACTGGGTGAGAAGTGCTCTTACTTTTCATGGCTAGGTTTCAGGTATCAGCAATCATCAAATTGGTCATTTTCTTAAGATGCGTGGACCTCTGTGGTATGTTGAGATGGAAACATTAATTACCTTTGTGATTGTGAGCTGATTTCTGATGTCTCTTTCAACTCTTAAATTCTAGAATCCTTTGACTTTCACTAAGACTTACAGCTGAAGCAGAACGAGCAAACTGTTGCTCATAGGTGGTTAGGTAGAGAGAAAAGAACAGATGATGACAGGGATCAAACCAGTGTCCTCCAGGTAAATGTTCTTGATCTGCATAATGTTGTTGTTTAGTTATTCCTTTTTTATTTTCTTTTTTCTAATTTGAGACTCTGTAGGCCAGTTAATGCTTTTCTACCCTCTTGCCTTAGATCTACCCACTTCACACATTTACGTTGCATCTAATATCAAATACCTGGAAGGCATTTGGCATTTTGATTCTTATTCCGTCTTAAGGCTCTACTAATTGCTAATGGGAAGGTAGAAAGCAGTGTAATAAAATTAGGAAAAAACAGAGATAGGTAAACACTGAATCATGAGAACTAAGATTAACATACTAAAGATGTACACATTTAGCTGTGGTTCAGAAGGTTGAAAATCAAGCTTATGAAAATCTTTTTTTTTTTTACAACTTGAGTAGATTTTGGATTCTGCCAAGGGTAGAAACAATGTCCTTACTGTGTTCTGAAATTTTTTCTTACAGAGAGATTACAGTACTATATTCTACTACAGGTGTTAAAAAAAAGTTAAGTTCTTCAGTTTCAAAGGAAAGAGACAGGAGGTCCTAGAAACAGGAAGAAAATGAGAACAAAGGATTAAAAGATGCCTTTCTTTTTCAAATAATAATAGAGTTTTTGTCTGGAATAACCCAGATAAGATAGATGTTTTGTACACTTACTGCTTTTCTGATAGCAGTGAGAAAGCTGAAAGTAGTTTTCCAATGTATGTGCAAATATATTTAAGAAATACCCTTTTTTGTCACTAGCCACTTTTTCTGGATCAAATATCTCTAACATGTTTACTTCTTTTTCCCCTTCTGTAGAAATGACTTGCTGATGGTCTGTCGCCAACTGAATATGGAAGAATCTGTGGCTGAGATCATGGACCAGTTGGGTGCAGATGAAAATGGGAAGATTTCCTTTCAGGATTTTACAAGGTGTCATATGCAGCTAGTCCAAGAAATTAGGAAGGAAGAAGTAGACCTCTCCGTGAAGTCAGACAACTCCTGGAAAAAGAAGAAGCTGAGAGACAGAATTGCTTCCTGGCCCACAAGCAGTGACAACAGTCTGGGTAGGTACAATGAGGAGGCAGTACGGCAGTGCCCCACTGGCTCCACTGTGTGATCTCTGTAAATAAGGCTCCTGCCCAACTGTCCTGGGGCTGCGCTCCTGGCCACACTTGCCTTGGGTGGGTGCTCAGTATTTTCCCCAATGCTGTTCAACAGTTTGTTGATTTCCATACATAATAATGCTTATTCAGACAGCTTGGAAGAGGTGGGGCAAATGGATGGTAAAGGTCATAAAGGTGTCAGCCGGCCTTAGGAACTATTTTGGGGACTTCTTTACAGCTTAGTGTTGCAGTTTTCAAAAGCCATTTCTTTTTTATTTAATGCTAGAAAATGTTTCTATATAGTTTTCCTACTCATAAGTGTTATTATTTCCTTTAGGTACAAGATAAGCAGTTGGAAAGAAAGTTTTTAATAATGTTGCTAATTATTGAAACTGGGTGAGAGGTTATCTTATATATATATTTTCGAGTACTCAGATATATATATAAATGGCATGTCTGAACTTTTATATACACAGTGAAAAGAAAAGAGGCACCTTAAAAAGTAGCCTAAAAAAAGGAACAGAGGAAAGCATCTGAGTTTTCTACCTATACTTCAGGATCCCTCTCACCTTGAAAGTATCTCCTGCATCTCTTTTAATGTTTCTCTCTATGCTGGGTAGATCTAGCAGCGAGAAGGTAAAGCTCCATGTTATTAGCCCATAATTTATTTTGTATCTAGATCTACATATACTAATTAGCGTGGATAATTATGTAGTGCCTCAGAACACACACATGTACACACACACACACACACACACACACACACACACACTGAGCAATGCTCCTGACAGTAGAATAATTTTGAGCATAACTACTGGATAGGTGAAACAATAAAAACACCCACATACACTCTGCACCTTACTACCTTAATGGATTCTACTTTAGTGAAAAATGTGATATCTGGTAATGCACGAAGTTCATGTGCTTGCAGCACAATATGTAGAAATATTTAATTTGAAAAAAACTTTCCTGAGTATTAAAGTAATATGTGTTTATTATAGAAAAATTGTAAAGCAAATGCAGTCAGAAGAAAATAAAAGTCATCTTTAATTTTACCAGGCAGCAACTACTGCTTACATCTGATATGCTTCTCTCTCTCTCTCTCTCTCTCTCTCTCTCTCTCTCTCTCTCCCCCACATCCAGTCTGTATGTGTGCACATACATCTGCACCTGATTTTCTTTCCTTTCTTTTCTTGTTTTCTGATTATTTCACTTTTTGGTGCTGAATATTGAACTTGGGGCTTTGTACATGCTGAACCTGTGCTGTACCCCTCAGCTGTATCCCCAGCCCTTCTTTTTACTAGTTTTTTCACATACTTTCTATATGGCTTTGTATCTTGCAATTTTCCTTTGATATTCTCTTCATGCTTTTATATCATGTTAAAAAACATGATTTGTAATGGTTTCATGGCATAAAATAGACACTCAGTAAATATTTATTAAATGAAAGAATGAGTGGAATTCTTTCTGCCTAGCCGTATTTTTTAATTTTCTGCCAAGAACATGAGTTTCTTATATAAGTACACGAGTGTATACATATATGTATATATATGTTTGAAATGTTAAGTAAACTGTGGAACATCCCAGCAGTTAAATACCATAGAGCTATTAAAATAATGTAAAATGTGTGTCAAATTTGAACATGGAAGAAATACTTTTGTGAAAAAAAACATACTATTTAATTGTCAAAATGTATTTAATATACTAGAGGTCTATACATCTTTTGAAAAGAATGTGTTTTAAAGAATTGCTGACTTATTTGATCATCACATGAGATTAACTGAAGCAAAGAAAGGTTGAAAAACAGTTCTCTTTTTATCCTTTTTTAAAATAGCTTTGTACACTTAAGAGGTAGCTGAGAAGAGGTGAACCAGCGAAAGGCCGTTAGCTTTGAAACCTCTGACCAGTTTATCCTGGCTTCAGAGTGTGTGTAATCACTTGAGTGTGAATCCTGGTTCTGTCACTTCCTGCAGGCTTGACATTAGACAAATTGTTTAACTTCTTTGAGTCTCTGTTGCACTGTGTAAAGTAAGAGCAGTTACTGTTATTTGGAGAAGCAGATGAGTTAATATACATGTGCAAACACGTAAAGCAATACCTGGCATGTAATGAGCATTAAATCCATGTGTAGTAGTCTGTTTTGCTTTCTGTAATGAAATACCTAAGGTTTGTTAATTTTATTATGAAAATAGGTTTATTTGAGCTGGGGATGTAGCTCAGCAACACAAAGCCTTCCTGACAAGTGTGAGGAGGCCTTGAGTTTGCTTGACATTAGACAAATTGTTTAACTTCTTTGAGTCTCTGTTGCACTGTGTAAAGTAAGAGCAGTTACTGTTATTTGGAGAAGCAGATGAGTTAATATACATGTGCAAACACGTAAAGCAATACCTGGCATGTAATGAGCATTAAATCCATGTGTAGTAGTCTGTTTTGCTTTCTGTAATGAAATACCTAAGGTTTGTTAATTTTATTATGAAAATAGGTTTATTTGAGCTGGGGATGTAGCTCAGCAACACAAAGCCTTCCTGACAAGTGTGAGGAGGCCTTGAGTTTAATTCCTGATACCAAAAAAAAAAAAAAAAGAAGAAGTTTATTTGTCTCATAGTTTCCTGGAAATTCAAAGGCCAATGTCACATAATGGCCTTCGTGCTGGGAGGTGCCCAAGAGACCCAGGACATTAGATGGTAAAAGACAAGGAAGTCCTTCTTATAAAGTCACAAGGATTCAACTTTGGGGGCTCCACCCTGATGACCTGATGTAATAATCCTAATCAACCCCAAAATCCTACCTCAAATATCATAAAGTTTTCACTCTTTTCATTCCGCACAATGGGGATTAAATGGCCACCCAGTTTTAAATCCTGCAGATTGTCAGATATGTATTGGAAAACAACCTCCTACTCAGTCTAATGTGAATCAAACACATTTTAATTTGACAGTAGTTAAGATTTATGTGTTTAATTATTCCTTCTATTTTCTATGTCATCAGCATTTTCCTCTGTCTGTGTTTAGATAAATTCCATTATCTCCCACTTTGGGGTGGAGAGAAACCCTCTCTTGACTCCATGCCCTCCCATCTTCTTCAGTTGTCTGATCTTGCTTTTGATACATTCATGTTGGCCAATCCCTTACTTCCTTTGCTGTTTATGTCTAGATTTTTGGCATGCATTCTCCCTATGTATGTTCCAGCTATACTGATCTTTGACATACATCCTGTCACATGTCTCGATTCTTTTACATATGTAATACAATTTTTGTGCCAATTTTTGTCCCAAATATTTATATCTACTCGTGCCCTTTCCCATGAGCTTTGGAATCAGGAAAGTGGACACACAACCCTGGTATCTTCTAGACCTTCTCACTTTAATACAATCAAGAAGTACTTGGTTTCCTTTCTCATTCTTCCTCCGAGGCGCATTCCTCTCCCAGTTATCTTCATCTAGAAAATATTTGCATCTAGGAAATACCTCTATCTTCCTGGTTTTTTGCGTGCTGGCCAGTCCCATTGTCTCTTTTGCCAAAGCATATTCAGAATATGTCCATTTCCTTTATTTTCCTGCTGCTATCCTTATCCAAATTCCTGTTCCTTGCCTTGCCTACTAAAACTGCAACTGGCCTTTCTGAATCTTCCCTCGATCCCAGCATTTCATTCTCTACCATGAAGTGAGAGTGGGCTTTTAAAATTCTAAAAATATGTTTCTGTTATTCTTTTTTTTTTTTTGGTACCGGGGATCAAACTTGGAATTTTGCACTTAGAGGCAGGTGGAGGCACCACTGAGCTAAATCCCTGGCCCTGTTTTTGTTAGTCTTGTGTCTAAAATGTTCTGTTGCTTTCCTATTGTCTTGAAGTTAAAACACTTTATCACAGTTTGATCAACACCCACCACTCTGAATTGATCTCACAGTGATTCCCGATTTACTGTATCTATTCCAGACATCCCAATCATTCTGAAGTTCCTCCACTTTAGCAAATTGAGTCAGCCTCCTGACTTTTGTCCAACACTTACCTTCAGCCTAGAACCATATATATACAACTTGTTTGTTGCAGTTGGCTTTTTCCTGTTATTCCCATTTCAAAATGTGCTCTCTTCAAGAAGGCTTTCCCTAGCCAACATAACCTCCTGTCATTCATTCTTTCACATCCCCCCATTGCTGCCTACCACTTATCCTTATCTGACACTACATTGTGTATCTACTTGAACAGTCACTATGTAGCGTCCCCAGTGCAATGAAAGTTCTACCAGAGTATTTATGGCCTTGCCCATTTTGTGACTGCAATATCCCCGCACTCAGAATAGTACCTGGGAGATGCTCAATCATATTTGTTGAATAACTGAATAAATAAGCACCATGTATGTATTTATACTCTTTGAATGATACAGAGAAGTGGAGAAGTACAATGCATGATCTCAGATGCTAAGAAACTTAAAAATTAATTGTAGAGACATGAGCATCTGACAAATTATATAGCAACACTTTTTTTTCCCTTTTTTATTATTTTATGCTGGAGACAGAACCCAGGGCCTTGCACATGGTAGGCAAGTACTCTACGACTGAACTACAACTCTAGCCCTAGCAGTAAGATTTCAATTACAGTTAATAAAATGTAAGGTGCTATTGATTGGTACAGAAAATATAGTCTATAATAAACATTGAGAAAAACCTGTAAACATAAGTTTCAAGAGAAGGCTAGGATTTTACCTGTGCCTACAAGATGGAGAGAAGCAGAATATTGGGCTGTTGTGAGAAAACCATAAGAAAACTTTAGTTTAATAGTTAACTGTCAGAAAAAACTTTCATCATGAGCTCTGACATTTCACAGCACATCCACAGTAGGGAGTAGAGCTGGCAGGAAAACAAAACCTGTCAAAGCATTACATGCACAACTTGGAGGAGGAATGTCAACAGATTCATTTTTTCCAAGTGTTTCCCATAGAATGGTGATTTTAAGAGTTACTTATA